TATATATATATATATATATATATATATATATGCTTGTGTCATAAAATAAAATCAAGCATTTCACAAAAACAGACGTATTTCTTACCTTCAGTTTGTCGTATCGATCTGCGAGGGCTGCTACTTGGTGGTCTCGATGTCGGCCAACGAGCTTACACAAAGCACAGATCAGCTGCTCGTCCGTCACACAGTACATGTTGACCTTCTCATCCTCGTGCTCCAGACACATGAGCCCTCGCAGGTGAGAGTCCAGCAAGGGCTCGATCAGTCGGTGGCCCGTGAATGGCTTCTTGTTCGGATGGGTGGCCTTGAGGCACTCCTCGCAGTACGACACCTCGCAGGTGACGCAGGTCTTCACGGCTTCCTGCGGCGGGTCCTGCTCGCAGAACTGACACTGCACCCGGTCAGAGGGAGATGTCATGGCTTTGCTGTCGGGGACGACTCGTTCTCGGCGAGTCTCGTTCGGAGAGTTAGATCCACTCAGGGAAGCTTTCTGGTACCGGTCGATGATGTTCTGCAGGGTCACGTTGCGTTTGAGTCCCTCTAGGCCCCGCTGGTTGAGGGTGATGACATAGCGACAGGTTGGGCACTGGAAGGCGCTGATAGACTGAATAGGCTCGCTGGGGGTGCAATGGGAGACCAGGATTCGATGGGCGCAGTTGAAACAAAGGCTATGAGCGCAGGGCAACAGCAGCGGGTCCTCGAAAAGCTCCAGACAGATTGGACAGGTCAGCTCAGACTCAAGTGTTTCCATCTTCAGGCAAAACAAAGAGGGAATGTCAGCGAAATCCACGGAAGCCGGTCAGCTATCTGTAGGAACAGAAAGGAGAGTTGTGCTTTGTGAAGTTAAACATAACTAGAAGTGAAACGTTGCTTCTGCTTTCGAACAAAATTCATTTTCTGAGACTATTCTGTAAAGACTTCTGAGCAAGTTGCAGCCTCAGAGGCAGATTTAGACATGCAGCATGCATAGTCTAAATCAAACAGGCGTCATGCATACTCTGTCTTCATTATCGAGCAATCAAAACAAATTTATTCAGCTCTATGTTGAGTTTCATTTAATTTCCTTTGCAGGATGAAAATAAATAGTGTGTCAATATTTGTGAGAGGCATCTTATTAGGAAAATTAAGCAAAATGGACAAATAACAGGAAAACTCTCGTGCTTGCATCCAAAACAAAAACGTATTCTTTTTTGGTCTAATTTCAGCCCGTTTGGTTGAACGTTGCCGAAAGCATCAGCAGCTTGTGTTGATTTGGCTCAAGAGAACTTTGCATGTGTTCCTCCTCGCAGTGCACGTATGCAGGCGAGCGAGAACTGACAGCTCAGTGAAGCAGAAGTCTATCGGCCTGCTGATGACTGGGACTCCACACCATCACAGACACTAAGTCTTTGTTCCCGGTCAGTCGGATACCCCCAGCTGCAAGCGGACACAATGTGCTCACAGCGTCTCGCCATGTGAACCCTCTACCTCCACTCATTATGTGTGAAGAGGGCAAAAGCTCATTATCAGGCCGGTGGGGCACAAGCAGCCTTTTGAAGGGTGGAGGATACCGCAATTATCTCGGAGCGAGAGACCTGGGTTTGGGCTTTCTGCTCTATTCAAATCTTCAGACTTTCCCACTGTACTGTACAAGACAAGAAGCATTTGTTGCGCTTGTCTCTGGTGACTATGATGCATCTGCAGGGCTTTGTTTCTTTTCACACAAAGCATAGGTGATAGTGGATTCTTCTTCTGTACTTAGAAAGAAGTCAATTTGAAGTGTGTCAAACTGATATTCTTCTAACGTCCACCTAAAATGGCTTTTTAAGACTAGCGATAGCGCTAAATTATGTTTAGATCTCCAGTGTCCCTAAGATGAAGTCTTTAGAGTAATAAATTTGTCAAACCCTTGAAATAAGCAATAAACCTTCTCGTCAACCATTTCAGACATTTGTTTGATCATCACTCAATTTTGCAACATCTTTTGTAACAAAACTGTAAGCGACAAAAGCTATTATAAGTCTTAACTATTAAATTGTGTTTAATAAAGTATAAAATGGCTACTGTTGTTATTGATTGTAATATAAAATATCCTGGATTTGTAAAACGATAACGCTGGGGCAAAAAGCCACTGCAAACAGCCTCAAGTACATAGTGCACTCTGTAAAGCTCTCCCATTCATACAGTTTACTTTACCCACCGATGGATTTCGCCCCACTTTGCGCTGCCAAGACATTTTTGCTGGAGGACAGCTTCTGACCCGAATCATAAAAATAAAATTAAAAAAACTGCTTTTAAACAAATGCACTGGTTATAATCTGCAGCATGGTGTAAGCATCCAGAAGGCACAAGTCTTCACAACCCTAGTAATCCTGCAGCAGCAGAGCTGTCACTAAGCAAGAGACTGAGCGAGAGGTAGCGAAGCACAACAGGAAAAGTTGCCCGACAATTCCAGGAAAGTCCGCTCCACCTACAGCAGGAGCTGTGGCCAGTACTGGAAGGAGAGGGGAGAGCAGACAACAGCCTGCAGGGGAGAGGGAGGAAAAAGCTGCTAAACGAGCGAAGGGACGGGACCGTGCAGAGCCCATGTCCTTACAGGCAGGTCAGAGTCATCCCAGCCCTGCCCATTCACAAATTCAAAGCATCAGTATCAGATTCAAGCTTCCTTGTGTAGCTGTTCACACTGCTTCGAGCATCACAATACTCTAGAGTGAAGTGTTTTTGAGTACTTTTAACAGGGAATCAAAGGTAAAAGCTGAAAATGCGACCAAATATAGGAGAGTGCTTGAGAGACAACAAAACACAGAGGAGGACATCCAACAAACGTGGAATCAATGGGTTGTCCTGTCAGAGGATCCTCACAGAAACTCCCTATCATTTTCCAGACAGCACAATAACTGTAATGTCCCTGAAGACAAGTTGAAATGAGACCACAAACGATACCAGACACATGTGCGACATTCATGTCTGTCCCAGCTGGCCCTGATGTGGGAGTCACTGAGGAACCATCTGTCTACCATGTGCTGCTATTTCCAAACATACCCCTGCTGCGCTCCATTTTCACTCTCCCATCATTCAAAAGCATCCCCTGGGGTGGCTATTCACTCTCAGACACAGATTCACTGTAAATATTAAAATTATGCTAAAGTTCAGACAAATCTGAGGGTGCAAACTGCCAGGAAGACACATATGGGGCTGTCCCCTGGGTGCTCTCTGTTTGTCTGTCTCCCACCAGGAAGGAAATCAGTTTCAAGAGACAAGAGAGAGACTAATCAATCTGATTTATTTTAGAGAGACCAGCAAATGATGGTGCAGAAAATAGGTTTGCTTTTCAGCATTTTGGCTGACTTTTGAACTTCACATTTCAACAATAACAACAAAGAAAAAAATCGCAAGTAAATGAGTCTTAACTGGAGTTAGTGGGAGAGATCATATCCCTCCAGTTTTAGCTTCTCTCCAGTCAAATTCAGAATTTAATTCAAAATCCTACTTCTAACCTACAAAGCCCTCAACAACCTAGCTCCATCTTATATTACAGATCTTATTGTTCCATATTTTCCCCAACAGAGCACTTCAGACTGCAGGTTTCCTCGTGGTTCCTAAAGTTTCCAGAAGCAGAATGGGAGGAAGATCTTTCAGTTATCAGGCTCCTCTCTTGTGGAACCAACTTCCAGTTTCTGTCTGTAAGACTGAAACATTGTCCAGTTTTAAGACTGGGATTAAGACTTTCCTTTTTGATAAATCCTATAACTAGGGTTGGCTTGTTACGCTGCCTAGGACAAACTGACCTCATTTCCTTTAATGAATTGTTAAAATTTAATAGTTTTCATTTGATATAATTTCTATCTTCACATGTGAGTCTTGACCTGCCATTGTGTATCTATTCCTACCAAACCTAGCCGGTCGAAGCAGATGGCCGCTTGTCCTGAGCCTGGTTCTGCTAAAGATTTCTTCCTCATGACGGAGTTTTTCCTTTCCACTGTCACCTTCATGCTTGCTCAAGATGAGAGTTTTGTGATGAAGTTAAACTCAAAGCAGTCTGCCCCTCAGATAAATAGCGTTAAATTATTATTTTTTATATATGAATGTTTCTGAGATAACTTCTGTTGTGACTTACCTCTATAGAAATAAACTGAACTGAATTGAACTGATACATTTCTGAGCGTTCCACTAAATTCTGTCTGCTGATCCACAAGATATTTCGGTAACAGACACGGCAAAGCTTCAGCAAAGGTAAAATTAAAAGTGCCTAAATAATGTGATTCTTTCTGAATGCTAACATGTGTTGATAGAGTTGATGAATAAGTAATAGACCCAGTAGAGATCAAACAACGACAATGTCTCGGTTATGAAGAAGATTTCCTGCTGAAGAACTCCCTAAACCTTTTGGTCATGGTCTTTTATCGCCCTTAATGATAGTTCTTAACTATGTAGGCTTTTCAGAGCTTGAAAGATTGCGATTTCTCTTTGTCTTCTTTGCTTGGGCTGACACCTAACATATTTATCTGTAATCCTGTCTTCAAAGCGTAGCTGTGACCAATGTGGGGCTGGTTGCATCTTCCTGGAGCAGCAGCCAGCTCAGCAGCGGCCCACTCAGGCCTAATGTGATTTACAGCTGCAGCAGCAGCAGCCAGCTGATTAGACTGACTAATCTACCTGATCTGCAGCTGCACACATTACCCAGATTAGCCTAATGGAGCCTGGCCCCGTCTAACAGTCACAGATGCTGTTGTTTAAATAATTAAAGATGACAAGTTAATTATTATAACCTTAACATCTTGGCGGCTGCATTTCAAACTCATAAGTCAAACGTGACGGTGTTCCGAGGAATAATGGTGACGTAAGGTTCTGATTTGGTAATAAAAGAGCAAGCTTCCAGGGAGAACACAAGACAAGTTCTACATGAAAAACTAGCTACGCTCTACATTCTCATGTCTGTCATAGTGCTGAGTCAGCCTTTAACGTTAGTTTTCTTCTTTTTCCATTTATTTTTTTATTTTTTATTTTTTTTATCTAAATATGTCTGCAAACATTCATATATACCAAAAAGTTCATCTCGTCCAGTAGATGGGTGCTATGACTTTTGATTTTTGTACGTTTACAATTTTCAGGATGTCAATATTAATTTAAATTTATTTACAAAACTTTACCCACAGAAATACATAGGAGCACATCAGTTCTGTCAAAAATATTGTCCTGCTTGAAACCTGTTTCATTGTACTAGCTCTATTTTTGCTTATTTTTGAGTTTTAGCCACTGTTCTGCTTCTTAGGCTTTTAGCTAGTCTTTTGTCACTTTTACCTTTTAGCTAACATTTTGCTACTTCTAGCTACCAATCCACAATTTATAGGTTTAGGCTAGTCTTTTGCTACATTTAATTATCCTTTTGTCACTTTTTGCCACCATTTTTCTACTTTTAGCTTTCATCTCACCTTCTTCTTGCTACCATGTAGCCACTTTTAGAGTCTTGCTACGTTTATTTTTTAGCTACTTATTTTCATTCGACCTTTATTTATACAGGTTAGACTCATTGAGCCTCCAGGACTCATTTACAAGACAGACCTGATTTTAACAAAGAACACAGATGAGGTACAAACAATAGATAGTCGTATAAAAAAAAGCAAATAAAATGAAAAGTAAATAGAAGAAACAAAATACAAATGAAACAAAAACAGCTACATTATAAAGCGGTGTAAAATACTATACATTATAGTATACTATAATACTATACATTATAAAGCAGTGTAAAATACTAAAAACAGGAACATGTCTGCATGGGTT